GTGTCCAGCCTCCCCGGGCGGCCGGCAGTGCCACAGACAGCGGGATGAGCCTCGCGTGCTCTCCCCCACGCTTCTCCTCGCTGTCTACGTTTGGCGATCAATAAAGCCCTACGGCCAAGCGCGGGCTTCCCCGGCACCCGTACAGAGAGCCGGCACCGGTTGGCTTAGCCCAGCAGCCGCGGCGCATCCCTCGGCTCCCCTCCCCGTGAAACATCTCGAGGAGGAGGAGATGACTACGGGGTCCTAAAAGGAAAAATCTCCCTTCTCTACCGAAATGATTCCCCTGGCTGTTAGCCATGAGCTCCGGCACCACGCAGCACCGAAGCGGCCAACCTCCCCCCGTTCCTCTCCTCATTTGCCATTCCAGCGTCCGCACCTTTCAACCTGTGGTCCAGATACTCCAGAGTGACCCTGATGACTTGCACGATGGCGAGGACCAGTGAGCCGAAGGCAAGGGAGCCGGTGTGGTACCTGGGAGAGATCATAGAATCATGGAATGGTTTGGGGTGGAAGGGACCCCCAGAGGTCCCCCAGCCCCACCCCCCTGCAGCAGCAGGGCCACCTTGAACCAGAGCAGGTTGCCCACAGTCGTCCCCCAGCACCCCCAGGTCCCTCTGGGCAGGGCTGCTCTCCACCCCCTCATCCCCCAGCCCGTACGGATCCCGGGGGCTGCCCCGACCCAGGGACAGGACCTTGCCCTTGGCCTTGTTGACCCTCATGCGGTTCCCATGCCCCCCCCCTCCAGCTTGCCCAGGTTAGAAGGGGACAACCTCAAGCAGCTTTGCAAGCCCCCCTCAAAAGGGACGTACCGGAGCGCGCGGCCAAAGGAGGAGAAGAGGGGGAAGGCGGGCATGTCATCGGGTTTCTTGAAGGCCCAGTAGTACGACGCGAAGGCCCCTGCCAGCGTCACCTGGCCCAGCGCGATCACGAAGTTGGCGAGCCAGAAGAACATGAAGACGTTGAAGAACTGGAGGACGATGAGGTACTTGTGGTACGCCGTCTCGCCCCCGTAGAACGCAAAGAGGCACTGGGCGTCGGGGCACAGCTTGGTGACGTTGCTCGTGTTGAAGGTCTAGAAAGGAGAGCAGACCCTCAGGCACCGGGGCGGTTGGCGCTGCACCGCAAGGCGGGCCAACAGCGCCTTTCGGCCAACCCAAAGCACTCTTGGCTTTTAGAAGACATTAGCCCGCTTCGTTTTTTGCCCCGTAGCGCTTGCTCAGGCCAAAACATCAGCTTTGCGCTCACAGCAGCTTGAAGGAAAAGAACACCGCGCCGTAACCGAGCTTGGAAAGGCTTGGAATTTTGCTTGGAAGAGCTTGGAAGCTTCAAAGAGCCACCAGGATATCTCATCGTGGAGCAAACAATCGTATCTCTGACCGGTTAAGCAGAGCGTTCGCGTGAATCTCCCGACGGCCTCACCTCCGGGTTGCAGGTCTGCCTGGAAAAGGGGCACGCGCTCTCGTTGAACACCTTATAGACGGCCTCGTTGGAAGTGGAGAGGAAACTGCGGAGCGACGGTTAAGGAGATTATTGCCAACCCCGACCCCTGGGCGCCTCTACCTCCCTTTCCCCTCTCGCCAGCCTCCCGCGATCGCTGTCCTAGCTCAGGGGATATTTTAAGTTAAACTTGGGGACTCAGGGCGGCAGCTTCGCAAACGGATGCGTCGCTGCTCCCGTAAGATGTTCGGCGCCCTTGGAAGACCTTTGGTTCCTGAGCAGCTTCCTTCGCCGGCGGCAGAGGCACGAGGAAGAGGACGAGGAAAGGATACACGGCGGTGCTGGCCCAGTAGGCGATGCAGAGGCACAGCAGGAAGAAGGTGCACAACGGGAAGAGCAGCGACGTCATGACGTGACCAACAGCCCTGCCGAGAAGGTGGGTTCAGACCCGGTTAAAACCCTCGCGGCGCTGGGAGGACTCAGTGGCGGGAGCCCGGCCGTCCCCGAGTCCTCCCACCGCGATGGGTGACAACGGCCACCTCTGCCCGGGGACGGGGCCACCCGGACCTGCTGGCCTCCTTGATGAGCGCGATGGCGATGAGGATCCTCTTGCGGAGGAAGATGAGGAGCAGGATGATCACCACCTCCACGATGCACAGGATGATCACTGGGAGGAGAAGAGGAGCCCCGGGTAGCGCAAGGGCATGGATGGCGCCTGATGGCCACCATCCAAGCTTTGCCTTCCCAAGCAGCTCCGCTGTGGCACCAAACGCTCCTCGGGGGACGGCCAGCACCGCGGCTCACGTGGAAGACCTTGGTCCCATGGCAGAGGTGGCATCAAGCAAAGCTCAGCCCTTTTCAAAGGGCCACGAAGAGGCCGAGAAGCCCCCAAACCTCCCTGCTCTCCCCCTCCCAAGCCTTGTCCCTCAAAGGGCCCGGAGCTGGGGCCCATCCACCGCGTCCCATCCCACATCCGGAGGAGGAGGACGGAGACTTACTGAATGCCAGCCACGTCTGCCGCAGGTGGAGGTAGACACGTAGGTCGGTGTGAAAGCCCAGGTCCTTGAGGGAGATGTCAGAGCCCGCTTCCCCTTTCAGTTTCGCATATTCCATGTAACAGTGGAAGATTCCTGCGGTGACACGCAGAAAATTGCCGTATTTCCGCTGAAAAGCGGAGACCGAGGCGCTGGCAGCCTCCGCTCAACCCCACTGATGCCCATGCTCAAGGTAGAAGGCACCTGGAAGGCCACCGCGCGAGCTCCCGTCACACAAATCCCGCCTAAGACAGGGAAAGGAAACCGGGGAAAGCGGGGAGAAGCTCCGACCCCTCGCTCACCGTAGCCCAGCACCAGGATCACCATCACGATCATCACCCAGACCATGATCCCGGCCAGGAAGCGGAGCAGGACGATGAAGATGAAGCTAGCCACCATCGCAATCACGAGGCCTCTGCGGGAGCAAGGCAGCCACACGTCAGAAACCAGGCGGTGCCCCCGCCCCACCGCTGTCCTCCATCGGTCGGCTTTGCCCTCGCTCCTTTACCGAACTCTAATGATGGGGCAGCCTTAAAAACGGGAATCATGGATGGCGGGGGGGACGGAGCGCGAGCAGGGGCTGGGGAAAGCTGCTCCCAAACCCCCTCTGCCGTCTCTCGCTTCGTTGGAAAGGAAATGTGCCTGCGCCGCCGTCCGGCGGGACCTGGCCAGGCCAGAGCGTTGGGTGCAGAGGAACCTGATGAGGTTCCACCAGGGCCAAGTGTTGGGGGCTGCCCCTGGGGAGGTTGGACCCCAGGCACCAGTCCAGGCTGGGGGCTGCCCTGCTGGGAAGCAGCTCTGCCCAGAGGGACC